TATCATGTTTCCTTGGAAATATTTAAAATTTCTAGTAAAACGTCCATACAGTAGGAAAGCTGTACCCCACTGGAAGATTTTTCGCTCGCCACTTAGCTAAGTACACCAACGGCATGAATCTCTCAACGATGGCACTCACGGCCTCTTAAGTTTGAAACCACCTTGACGATTAATTCTCACGATAAATGTAATATTTTCTGTTTCGTGCGTCACGTAAAACACACCGTACCTTTATTGCTGATTCTTTGGATGTTGGGGAGGTCATGTACATGTATTTGATAATTCTAGAGCTGAACCCTTTTAAATGATTTGCATAACATCCATAGAAACTCACGGAATATAAGGACTCTCAACAAGAAACAGTGATTTCAAGTCCTAACGAACTGGCGCCAATAAACGAACGAATGCATGAAACAAATGATTGAATAAATGAAAAGATGAATGCACGAAAAAATGAAAACTTAACGAAGGAAACGTGAAGCAGCTATAGCCACTTTTATTTTTCGTTATAATCGCCAAACCACATGCCGCGCCGTGATACGTAGGTGTACAGAAATTTTTGTGAAAACCATAAATAACCAGCGAGTCACCGTGGTGTCCTGTAGCGAACAGAAAAATAACAGCACTATAATATTGGAGGATCCAAACTCAACGTTTAATTAGTAATATTTATTGGAAGAGGTCTTAGCTATTCTTAATTCTTTTGGTCAGTCATGAATTAAGCCTTTTTTAAGTTGCATTACAGTGCGTATTAAATACTTTTATGATGTAATAATTGTTTCCCTTACACACCGCTTTCTTGGAAAAGTCTTCTTTTAAATTTGACGGTCGTTAGGTATGCAAATCTATTTTCAAAACCTCATTTTAAAAATTAAACGTGTTGAATTGAAAAGCCTAGATGAGGAGATTATTACTTGATTGTTAAATTTGAGCTTAAAAGAATAATTGATTTCTGATCAAGTTGAATCTAACTGTTCCCAGTAAGTAGTCTAACATTTTGAAGGTTTCACGCCGATCACGAACTACTTATTAACGAATTCCTCCTGTGCCCACCGCAATCAAATTTTCCTCACAATTCCTTTCTGCTTTTTGTTTAAAATCTCATGCTGTGAAAACCAAGAAACAAATTTAACTCAAACCGGTATCTTCCAACTTTTGTTTTCACCTCACTGTAATCAGAGGAAAATTGCGCTCATTTCGAGTGTATTTGAGTTATTTGTGACTGGTGCGTCAGGATATATATGTTAACAGTGCAGATATAACAACTAAATAGTTGCATAACACAAGCTGTTTGAATGAGAAATAAATCCTAAGAACTATCTATTCCCGTAGGCCGAGAGACATTGTAAAAAGTTAGCTTTGAACTGGAATCTCCCTAGAGTTGATCTATATATCAAGCCCAAAGTTTTTCCAAGGATAGTTCAATTTTACTTTAATCCGAATCTCATCTTAATTAATTTATTTCATCCGAATCACAGACATTTAAACCCTTACCTTTTCTGTGGACAAATATCCTTCGACTTTATCGATACCGCTTGTTTCCTTTTCAAAAGAGATCAGATAAAAGACAGATCGGCGCTGCTGTAACTACAAGAGAAGGACAAATGCATTATTGATTACCTACAGACATGATAGACATGTTTCGTCGCATTTGTTCTAACAAAAATTGATGAATTTATTACTTGGAGAATTTTCCTCTTTTTGAATATTTATTAGACTTGTTCCAATCTTTGATAAGTCAATGTTTTGTTCTCTTTTAGACTCAACTCTTGTCTTACGGTCTTATTTTGTAACTTTTGTACAATATGTAAATGAAGTGTCAATGAATGCATGGTACTAACGAACTGGCATGAAAATTTTACACTTCAAAATACCACTGAAAGTGACTCATAAATGAAGTACGGTCTCATAAAAGTATAATCTATCTCACCTCTTGGAAATCGGTACTCGAAAATTCCTCTTTTTGGTTCGAAAAGGTTAATTTTGCCTGTTCAAGCTAACACTCGGTATATTTCCGTTTGAATATTTCTGATACCGCCCACTTGAAACCTCACATTTATAGTATGGGCGACAAGCCGAACAAATGGATATTTTTTTGATGTGCCTACTGTACAATGATTTGATTCGAAAGATGAAGAATGAGTACAAATGAATACAGCTTTAAATTCGAGTAACAGAAATTTCCGCTAACAATATTAGGATCTAGTGCCACGGATAAAAAAACATGAAAGGCAGGGGTTCTCCAAACATCTGACTGATACTGCAGATTTTTCCTATCGCCAGATCCTACAGGAAATATTTGAGACAAATTTAAGACGCCTCAGAAAGCATCATCCAATTGTGGTTTTGTAATTATCTATTGTCTGTTCGCCTCAGGAAGTAGGCGATTCTTTTTTTGTTTATGTATGGGAGATTTTCTACAAAGCGGGATCACTCTATTAACTTTGCCCCATCCTGACGGAAATTTGTCTTTTGTCTCTCAGAAAAATATCACCGTTTCGGCAAAGGTATTCTTTGCCTCAAGTTGATCGAACTTTGAGGGCTTTTCACTTCAACACTAACAATTTCTTTCAAAAAGTGTTTGCAAACTAAATTTTAGATAAATGTCTAAATGACTAAGATAAATCTTTACAAATTATATCGAACAAGACTACTGGGAATTTCTTACAAGCCAAAAAAACTTCGAGAACTCGCAAAATATGATTTTCGGTGGATAAAGTTTTAACTTATTGATTTTTTGAAATTCTGGTGAGGCTGAAAGCTGTTTCAAGGGTGTAAATACGGTGGTGTGTATAGTGTTTACATATAAACAAGAAAAAACTTCTCATTCAGTTCAGTTTACTTTTAAACCATTTTGTATGTCGCGTCTTCAATTCTTGTGCTATGAGCGTAAATCAAATGTGCTCAATATTAAAAAAAATTGCAAACAACATGACAAGTGATCCATTAGCCTGTAAGTAAAAAGTGTTGTAATTGAATCGACAAAGAGACAGATTAGAGTTTCAAACCCCATTGTGTGAAACAAAGATGACCTGAATTTGCTAGCCACACTTTCTCTAGATTCACTAAAGAACCTTCGATCTTGTGAGAATCACTTTCCCGTTGTAAAATATAAAAAATTCGATATCTTAAAAAAAAAAAGCTTCCGGCCAGTGATAATTATACAAAAAGGAGACTTACCTCGTCAACAAGACGACCGAGATTAACCGAATGGATCTTCGCACGTTGAAGGCCGTTCCTGACTAAAAGATAAGAAACTAAAAACTTGATTTGCTTAAGCAAATCACTGAATGAAGCCCGAGATATTTCCTGCGCCTGTGGCTTTCATTCGTCCTTTAAGTGCTATTTGAACAAACACTCAGTACTGTTGTGTTGCAAAGATTTATGATGATCATCTATTTCCTTCGCCACGTCACTCTTATTAATAACCAGACTAAATAAGTTTTAAAAAAATTGAAATAAATTGGTTTGTATGGGGACGAGACTTCCAGGTAAATTTATGGAGCTAAACCAATCATTCACACGTTTGTTTCAAATCAAGTCGAGGGGAAAGCTCTAATTTCATTAATTTTAAAACCTACCGTATTTGTCCTCAACTAACCTATCAAAAACAAAAAATGTCCGCCTTGATTTCTTATATTTGACCTCCATCATTGATTACTAGCCAATACTGAGAGAGAGTTTCTTTGCCACAGGCATTCTGAACTGTACAAAATGACTTACCTTCTGCTAGGAATTTAACGATGCATGTTGACAACGCCAAGAAAATTTACGTTACAGAAAATTAAAGCGAATTTTCTATAGGTTAGGTTTGCATACATCAAATTGACGCGAACTTTTCGAAAACAATGTGTGCCTAGCTTTATATTTTTACGCGAATTTTCTTCAATACAAACTTCTCAACAAACGTATTGAAAGACATTTCTTGTGGAAGAACTGTTAGATAATAACTCTGAGGCATTGATAATGGAGCCATGAGGAGATGAGATTTTGTTATTGAAATAAAGTTACTGCAAAACAACAATGATGCAATGTAGTGTGATTTGAATTATCATCGTCGTAAATTAAGATGCATTTAATAAACGCAATTTTTTATAATCGCGTTAATAAAGTGCATTTATTTCCTATGAAAAGGTAAATATATTACTTCAACTCCTTAACGCCTAAGAGTGACCAGCATATAATTTCTCCCTATAAAATCACCTTTGGGTCAGACGTTAAGGTGATGAGAATAAAGGAAATGATCACCAACCAAAGAAGGTCCTGATTGTGAAACAAATTCTCCATTTCCAGACCTCAGGAAATGTGTAGGCAACGGTACGGAAAATATGCATACTAATTTGAGGGTGTAAAGTGCTCAGTTTTTTAAAAGTCAATTGATTCGGAAACGGCTCTCTTCAACAGACTGTCATAGTCAAAACAGCTTTCTGTCCGGTATTAACTGTAGATGAGTGAATGAAAATGATGTAGACAGGATATGCTCTGCAATCAATATCGCCAGTATCACACTCTATTTCAAACAGCACATATAAATGTATTGACATATGGAAAACAAATCTTTTTTTTTTCTCCACCAAACGCTTCAGAAGATAAACATATCAGGATGTCTACATTTCATTGTTATTTTTGCGTATGGTTTTGCATATGTTAATGATAAGTAAAAATCTGGTTCATACCGATAAGATTAATTTGATATCTTTGTAATTATCATTGCAGTTGTTTTCAATGGTTTCTTTTTGATTAATGTTCAAAAGACTACGCGTAAATAATACAACAATCAGAAAAATATGAAAGTATCTTAAATCTGTTTCGAAAAAAGGGCTCCGAGATGAAGTAGCTGATTAAGAGCAACAGGAATAAATCATATTTTTTTTTTAAGAAATAGGTCATAATTTAACTTCAAACGATTTTACAATTCATGTATATATTGACTTGCTTCATAAGGGGCTGCAAAGTTTGTTATTATCATCATGTTTAACAAATTGTCGAATATCAATGATCTGAACAACGTTTATCTTTATTGACTGTTTTCTGTTATTTCTTACCCAAAATCATATTTTTGTTTATTTGTAACTATATCACAATTACGCTGGTTTCTAGTCCCCCCTTAAAAGAGTAATTTGCTGTCAGTGACATCAGGGGGTTTCTTATACCTATCTTACGACGAGTAAAACAGATCACTTCTGTAAAAATGAATAAAGGTGAACAGAAGGGCGCGTCAAAGGGACTAGGAGAATCACTGAGTGATCATCAAGCTTCCCGACCTTAAAGGATATATAATTTGAAAGAAGGGCGGATGATCACTTTTGAATTTCAGGAAAACATCTCTTGTACTCTTGGTGCTTGCATGAAAATTGCGAGGAAAGTTGCAACGCTGATTAAAATCCCAAGGACGAGCACAACACGATCCAAAATTTTTGCGGCCATTTGCCAGTCAGTAATATTGTTTATTTCATCCGCGCGCGACCCATCAGCCGCCTCGAACACATACTTTCCTTGTTGTTTTTCTGTCACTTGATCATTCAGAATAGGAGTCTCACGAATACTGCTGCGTGTTCTAGAACGTATGAGATGAACAGGCGACGAAGGCTTTGCTTCACCACAGCGCCCATTTCCTTCACATGCACTATCGTTTAACACATTCATTTTTCTTAACTCAATGGGCCCCGAGTAAGAGCCTTCGGACTGCGAAGCTAAGTCAAAGTTTTCTTCGATCAAACCTTTTTGGTTTTTCTTACGAGTTTTGTTTGACGGTTGAGGTGTATACTTTATTCTCACCAATGGACCCAGAAAACTGAACATGAGCTGTTTGAGCCAACCAGGCATTTCGCAGCGTTGGTAGAAAAAGTTCAAAATGACACAAGTGGCAAACAGAGCCAAACCAATCTCAAAAATAGCACTGGAGTAGTACTTAGCTGAAAAGTAAACAGAAAAATTTACGGTAGTAAAGATGTGTTTGTTGGTATTGTTCAAAGTATTATGTACCAAGCATTAAGTGGGCGTGTCAACAAGGACGACCTTCCCACTGTTCCTCAGATCCGAGGAACCTGGTGTCATCATCATCATCGTCATCACTAGTATGTACTATACTATACAGGTGAAAAGTGCTTTTGGCGCGTGCCGACTGGCTGGTTTGGAGGTAATTAGCAAGTACTACTCACCTCCGAGCGGTCAAAGAGACAAAACTGCGCGTCAGGATTAGGTATATTAGGTATTGGTATATTTAGGCATATTGACCGAAATAAAGTATTTTTATTTGGTGTCTGTATCGTACATACTAATACCAAAAAGCAGACGCCTTCTATCAGCTGTTCCCTCTTGGTCTTTTAAAGTAGAGATAATACATTACCTAGCAACGGAATGTATTCGGAATCCGCTGGCAGCTTAGCTGACGTCAGTTCCTGGAAGATAGCCATAGCCATAAGTACTGTAATACCCAGTCCTATTCTCTCCCCAGACTCCGGCGGCAAAATGAAGGAAAGAAGGACCATGAGGGCTATAAGAGAACACGGTACCACAAGATTCACCATGTAGAAGTAATACCGCCTGCTTAGATGAAGCGAAAGTATGATACTTGGGTATGGGTGAACACAGCAGCTGTATATGTCCTGTTACAAAAAACAACAACAGCAAAGTACAGTTGCAGTGCGTTTAGCGTTGTGTTATTTTCATAACTTTCCATGCGATCCATCCAGATCTTTGTAATTTCTGGTGAGGGTCGTTTAATCTGAGAGGATTGGCAAATAAAAAATTCCATCGATTCTAACCGCCCTTGTTCTTCACTTACCTCGATTCTAACCGCTGTCACTTTTACCAAGTCCCACTCGGTATTGTTCCGATAGATGTCTCCCTTGGCACCAGTCTCAGACTCGTCAACAGCAACATCCAGCTCGCTGCCATCAAAAGCCCAGGATCCGAACTTAAGCGTGCAGATCTTAAACAGAGTGGAAATTAGGCGATTTTAAGATCTGTTTTGACTTACAGACCTACACAACGAATCGTGACCTCAGCCATATAGCAAAATCGAGATTTCTCAGCTTTTAGCTAAAACGTCCATTGTTACTTTTGATCATTTTGGTAGCAGTTTATCTTAAACTCGGGTGCGTAGTTGTCAAGCTTTTGAAGAGGAGTTCTTTCAAAGCATATTTTTCCGTTTTTTACAAGTAATCACTCTACTATGATAAAGCTTACTGGTTTCTGGTTTCTGGTTTCTCGTTTCCATTACATGTAACCTGAGTGAGTCAGAGTAAGACTGAAGGTGGCAGTCATCCTCAGCCTCACTTCTGTTCAAAAGCTTGGCAACTAAGCTCACATACAACGAGCCATAATTGCCAATAATTCTATGACCATAATTCAAATGACCAACCTGGTCGTCGAAAGGAAAGTATTTCGTATTGATTTCGCACGTGCTTTGAAAGATTGCTGGCGCCATCCACTTGCACGATCCGTTGGAGTTTATTGCTATCTTGGTTTTATACTTCTCTGTTCCTCCACCAAGTTTGTCGTTATCGTCAGCACTGTCAGCGAACCGCACACTGTGATAAGTTAATTATGATAAATACAGTAATAGCAGGCCACGCCCTGACGAGTATGGATTTTCAAGTACACTTAGATTAACTCACCAACATAACTCTCCTTCTAATCATTTTAACAAAAATATTTCATGCTGATGTTAAAATGTGATAATGACAAAAAAAGTGGTGCATGAGGCACAGCCCCTAGCCGTGCTGATATCGCATGGGGACGTTACATGTTGCTCCCTTTCAGCAGTGAAAGGCACATGCTCGGCTGCAGAGCTGTTTCTATCTGTTAACAAAGGGTTTTAATGTTAGAGGTTAAAAAGTTGATTGTGTGGGATGAGAAACTGTGGCCTGCTATTAATTACGTGCAAATTATAAATCTGTGAACACTTGAAAATGCTTCCTTATATCATTTTAAAAGTAATGATTTATCAATGAGATCACAAATGTTAGAAGTAAGCTTAGCCTACCCAAGCTGTATCTCATACATGATATTAATTACGCGTCTAAAAAAGTCTGAGAAAATTTCCCGGTTGCGCTAAGCGATTTTAACGTAAAAGGGATCCTTATGATGTTGGTTTAGATCAACAACGGTCTGGTCTGAGTTCTAGTCCTAACTTGCTCGTTATATTTTGGTTCATTACATTTTGTTCTTTGGCAAGACACTTTACTCTCAAAGTGGCCTCTTTCCATCCTGAGCCCAGTTGTTCAAAGGCCGATTAGCGCTAAACCAAGGTGAAATTTTAAATTCGGGCTTCTTTATTATTTTGTTCAAAAGCCGTTTAAGGATAGTTTTCTTTATTCTGTTTAGAGCATCCAATAATAAAATTGTCAGATCTTAAATCAGATTTCACACTTAGCCTAGGTTATCTTAACCCAGCTTTGAACAATCCAGCCCAGCAGTGAGAAGAAAAAATGGTGAACTGTTAAGTAAACTGAGTGTCACGAAAATTGGTTGTAAGCACTGGCAGTTATCAGCCGCCTTGTAAACCTTTAAGAGTAAATAGTATATTAATACCACTCCCCGGAATCGCGCATTAAAATCATCAGAAAAAAGGAAACGATCACCAACTTAAGACGCTCTTGATTGTTAAACAATTTCTCCTTGTCAGCGCCTTAAGAACTGCATGAAGAGCAGTATAGAGAATATGCATACTGATATTAGGGTGAAAGGGGTTCATACTCTCACCTGTTGTACAGTATGATGTCTGGTGCCCAGACCTTTCTGGGACTCACGTGAATAACCTTGGTGCCATTATAGTCAGCCTCGTTCCAAGTCAAGTCAGAATTCATCCATTGCTGAATAAGAATTGTGAGAGGGGCATGGGTACAAATTAAAATATATATTAAATAAATGTATAAACAGAGTGAAGTAGAATTTTAAACCAGTAATAGATTTGATAACAGATCTACTCACTACGATTCAAGACCTCAAATCCCAAGAATATAAAGTATTAGGATATAATAACATAAGTAAAAAATCTCTCTTCAAAATTAGATTTTTGTAAAACTGTGCACGTATAACCTTCCTAAATATATGAGTGAATTTTGCGATTCTAATTGTAATAATTTTTTACCTGGTAGATCCACCATTGAGAACGAATCGTATTTCCTCTTTCATTCTATAACAAAATAGTGCAGAAACAAATTGAACATAAAAAGCTGGTCAATTTATGGTCCAATGTTGGGCATATATATTAGTATCTTTACAATAACTCTCCATCCCAGTAACCGAATAAACATTGCTGTCGTTCTTGTTTTTTTCAGTTGAGACTTTAAAGCTTGTCTGAGATTACTTTGTCACACTTTCTAATTGCTCTAGAAAACTCACGCCGTCCTCTCAACCAATCAGATCCTGAAAAAATGTAAACCAATTACGACTGGGTGGCTGACGTTTTTTCTAGCTCATTCTCCCATGACATCTCTTTGGCTCCCTTATGAAGTCAAATGAAAACTATTTTTATTCTGATTTGAAGTTAATTATGATCACCTCGTTTTTGATTTACGCCACTTAATTGAAATTAAAACAATATTGTTTCTATCAAAAGTCTTAGTCGAAGATTTGTGCTTACCAACTGGATAATCCTGACGAGTTTCGCGCCAAACGACACGAGAACAGCGCGTGACCTGTCCGAGCTTGGACGGCCGTCCCCATCATACTTTGCGAACAGATGTGCCAGCAGGCGTTGTTGAGAACTTTCCTTGGAGCCTGTCAGAATACACATTACATGAATAATTAATAACAGTGAGCATTTCATATGAATATAATTATGACTGTTAATCTGTCAGGATGGTAATCAAGAAATGTTTAGAGAAGCGTATTTTGAAGGATTTAATCGACCAAGGTTTGGGAACCAATTTAGAAAAATGATTTTAAGAAAAATGAACACATTCCGTTTTTTTTTAGACTGAAAAATAGTAATTAGTCCCCTAAAAGAAGCTGAGAATATCACCCATTTCACTTTATGCTGATTTTTACAAATTAAACGCCTTGCCACACGGCATTCGCAATTATGATAACAGATGAATGGAGCCCATAAAAAGGCTTAAATTAGATCGTTGAACGTACTGCACACACATCCAAAGTCAAATAGCTCTTCCTTCTATCAATATGAACACGTTTACTTAAAGAAAGTGTTAAAAGTGTCGTTTTGTCGATTGGGAATAAGAATTTTAAGCAAGTTTTCAGTTGACACCTATATATATTGGCAATTGACGCTCGATCGAACAACTTAAAATTTTAAATTCCGAAAAAAATATGCATCAGTTCTTCTTAATGGGGGAATACTCACAAAAAGGAGTTCCAACGAGACAAATAAAGAGCCTTTTACGTCGAAAATCGTTGTTCAAACAAATGCAGGGTGATTCAAATTTTTAAATGAATTGCGCTTGAAAAAAACATTCAACTCGAAATTGCGTCATGTGGTTTCAAGATACAATCAAGCGCTTTCATGATCAGGTCATGTATGAAGTTCAGACGTCTCCGAAGCACTAGTTGGGGGTAGATAGAGAGTTGTCTTGTTCGACAATGCATGTTAATAGACATTATATATAAAGAGAACTAGTGTACCTGTTGACACAGGAAATAAGCTCCAGTACAAGCACAAAATGATACAAAAAAACAGCGGCCCTTTCATTGCTGATTGTTCGGGACGTTTGACTTCCTTCTTCTTCTTCTTCTTTCAAAGTAAGTGACAATATGATAACCCTCTATTTATAACATTTGCTTGCCATGAGTGAAGTGAATTCCTTTTTCAGCTTACACCACAACGTCGTAACAAGTTGGTCGATTAAAACACATTCTCACCACCACAGCTGAAATATAATAAAATTGGACGCTTATTGTCAAAGCCTCTGCCAGAAAAATTGAGTTCTGAGGAAAAAATTCTGCCCGATATATAGATATCAATCTATATATGTCGAAATTTTGGATAGCGATTGTTTCATTTAGTACAAAAACGATGCCTCACTTGATGAGTGACTTCGTTCTCATAGGTTGGCTAACGTTTATTGATCATTTTTCATGAAAATGAGCCCACCTGAACCACAACGGATGCTGCCAAATTTGCTGACTGTACTGCATGCAATTAAATGCCTCGATTTAAAACGTCCATAGCGCGAAATAGAAGACGAGATTATTAAAATTTTAGCGCACGGGTAGTTGCCGCCTGTCGATTCAAACCACTCTAGAGTAGGGCGGGACTGTTGTCTGAAATTGTTGCTATTTGTTGTATGAACAAGCTTGTTTGTCATTATCGAATATTTATAACATGTATTCAAAGCGGCAAATGGAAATTACTGGAAAAGGTGTGTGCTAACGAGGCTTGCTTAGTTAGACAAGCCGCAGTTATTGTGAATAATTTATAAGCTCGGCCATTAGACTTTGAAATTAACTGAAAGAGATGAGGAGGAATCACTTAATAACAAGGCTGAAAGGTGCTTTTAAAATGAAATTGTCTGCGGCAGATGCAAATTGCGGTGGACTAACCCTTTTTTTTCCTTTTTCTCTAGGCTGAATAGGACCATAACAGATGGTGTTCACGTCTGTTCAAAAACATGGCAAAGTAGCATTCGTATTCAGAAAAGATAGAAATGTATAACTTGTTGGTTTGTCAATTTTTATGTTAAGAAATCGTCTCCCAGACAATGAACTTTACTTTCACTCTTGGACTTGATTACGTAACGTAAAAACTTACTGATATAACACATATTCAAACGGGAGTTCCGTCGCTTGAGTGAAATTCTTTTTACCAATTTTGTAACTGCAGTAACGAGTGCAATCTAACACTTTTTAGACCTTTGATGAATTCCGACTCGAAATCTAGTTAAAATTTTCCCCTCTCGATATAGAAAAAAAAATCATTCATTTTTTCTCGTCTTGCAGCCTTTTCTATATCATTGGTTACGCTCAATAACTTGGCAACCTCCAGAGTATCGACTTTGATGTATTTCTCGTATATTTTTAGTCTTGTGATCTTATGGTTTATCAAATCTGATTAGCATTTTACTCTTAAAATCTCAAAAATGTGACTCCCGCTAAGCACAAAACTTATATTATTTTATGTAAAGTCAAAATGCATATTGAGAGACATCAGATATTTTCAAAATTGCATTCAAAATTATTCTTTTAATAGTTTATGATTATTTTGTCTAAGCATTTGTGATGCAGTTTATAAAACCAAACCACTACAACAAACTTCTGTGTGAAAAGAAAAACTTCACGTATCTCCGCAGTAAATTGATATTTGCTTAGGGAAAAAAACCGAGCTGTTCCATGAACTTAAAAGATAAACTTAGCTCCTGGTTTTTAGTCTACTTGTGCAGTTGATATGAGGGAATACAATTACTAATCAAAATTATTCATCAATATTTATCATGGTGGACTGATCTTTATGTGAAATCAAACTTGTAGAGATTCAACCCCCCAGCGCTTTTTCTGCTAAACAAACTCAATTGCAATATGATTCCGTAGCACAAACATTTAGCTTTTAGTCTTGGCATGTTCACAAACGTAAAAAGACAATGCAAGTCCTGCAAATTCGTGCCGGGTGTATTCTTTGCCATAAATCATCCTTTCTTCCTTTGAAAAATGCTGTTGCATGAGAACCAATTTTTCATTTTTCGACGAGTAATTTATACTCTCTCCTTTTCTTATCGAGACAGATGAACAAAAAGTGGCAATATAAATACATGTAAGTTGATTTCCGGTGCACAAGACTCTCAAGCTAGAGGAAGTCGATTTTCAACGTAAATCAGTCCAAAAGTCCCGACTACATGCTGAATCTAGAACCTAAATTCCTCGTTAAATTAAAACAAATTGACCGTTAAAAAGGATCCCAAAGACATTTTCTTGCAAACCTTCCCATTGGTAATTTTCATTCTCTTGATCCTAGTCTCTAATGAACCTAGTTACCGCAATTTGATTGGAAAAGTAAGACAATAAATTCTGCTTTTAGTATGGTTCTCTCTCTGTTACGCAAACATGTCTCTTTAACATCATCGACCTCCAAGCAATCGGATACTCACCTCGCGTAAAAAAGGCAACTCTGCCTTTACTTGAAAACCGAGGTGGAGTTTCACGCGTGCTAACCGTAAATCAGCTTGAACGCAGAGTTAGCCAAATTTAACCGCAATCTGATCAAAACTCGGGATGTTCCTCTATACATCAGCCAAATTTAAATAATATAATATTCACTCCATTGTCACAACTTCTGATAAAACTGTTCTAATTATGAATATTTAATATTTTCCTTTGTACTTTACTGGCAGCCGAAAAAGCCATCAATTGAGCAGGAGTCACTTTGACTACTTCCTGCCTCCAGCTCCGATTTCACTTCATTTTTTAAACTCATAAAATTGACATTAAGGAATTAAAATTTAATCTTTCACGTCAAGCAGTAATCTTTGGTAACCAACAAGACATTAACCCTTTCACGCCTAAGATATCATTATTTATTCTCCTTTCTGTCTGCCATATCATTCTCACTATGTTTGTTTAGAGAATTTGGTACTGGATCAACTAATCATGCCCTCATTGATATTTTCCTTTATTCCCATCACTTGTCGGTTTGATATTGTATTGATATTGTAAGGAGAAATTCTCTCTTAGTCACTCATGGGAGTGAAAGTGTGAAATCGGGACCAGAAATATCTTTGCTTTGAAATTCGCCAATAAAGTTAAATTTGAAAAGGCAACTCGATGTATTTTTCAAACAACAGCAGGAGGAGAAATTTACTTTAATCACGGACAAAAATGAATATTCCATACAAAACTCATTTCGTGTTTATTTTTGGATCCTTCATATGTAAACCTACCAAGAAGGTTTATGTTTCAAGATCTTGAATATTAAATTGGCATAATTTCATTTTACCCACCTCAGTCTGAGTGTCTCCAAGTTCTTAAAGTCACCTTAGAGTCACAGCTTCCCTGTTTTATCTGTTATGTAATTAAAAACAAAAAGCGCCCTGTGCTGAACAAGTTTCGATCATTCGTTCTTCTAATTGTTTTCATGATGTACCGCATGCTTAGATACAATAAAGATTCGTCTGCCGTTGAATATTCACCATAATATACCTTGGAGTCTCAGCGTGTTAAATATTCTGGTAGAATAACAAGAACATTACCATCTGTCGTTCAATTAAGACTTTTTTTTACTTCTCATATATATTAACATCCCCTTTCGGTGAGGAAAATGCATTTGCTTTCTTTATCTTCAAATTTGATCTTTCCTCTTTTCTAGTTTGGTTCATAAACCTTTTAATCTTATGAAAAGAAAGATTTCCCAAAGATCCCTTATGCGTCACCCTAAGTAATATAACAAAAAAGGGAATATTTGGATGAAGATCTCGCTGATCAGTGTAGCCTACACACTCATCTAAATATTAATCAAATTGAGGCAACATATCGCAAACAGCACGTACAACTCGGATCTACTTTGGAATCATGATCTACGGAAACTTTCAGGACGAAACCCTGTAATGATGGAGTGAACATGGGAATTTAATTACAAAGAAAAGAGTTTTCTACCATTTTTTAGGAAGGGGGAAAAATAATACTGCAAAAATCCCTATATGTTCAAACAAATTCAATCTTGTTTGTTCGATGATTGGAGTACGTAATTATCGTGTTAAACTGGATTTAAAAGGAAGAAAATGTAGTTCCCAAGATATCTGCAAATGAACGAGAGCAAACGATTGAATCAATAGATCATAAGTTGGGTGTAAATCGTGATTTCATCCGATGCTATAACCGAGAGGATACAGGACACAGGTAAACAATATAAGTATGCTTGCAGACACGCGCGGCGTAAAGGAAATCAGACAAACATACAAACAAGTCAAACAGGTAAACAAATATATAAAAGCAATAAAATACGAGAAAGAGAAAAACCTATGAATATCAATTACTTAACAGAGTTACATTTTGTATCATTTTTCCGTCCTGGTTACGGATTTTAGATCGTCCTAATAAACCTCATTTTATACAGTTATCCATATCGTCCTAGGACTTGGGGGCTCATCAGGTTGCAGAATTGCTTTTTGCAGTATACGACCGACGAATCTACTGCAAATGCCATAAAGTATAATCATTTATCTCATGATGTTGTCTCTTCCGGTGTAGATCGCAAAATTTCAACCGCATGCGCTATGAGTCTTCCCCAGGTGACAACGGTCGCCATCGATACGCGACATGCTATGACAGGGCAAATTTTTCTCTGGCCAGCTGCATTTCTGTTTTCCATGTTATTTTCAAAAATAGTTAAGTATTTCGACAAAATGATCCTAGTCTAAATTTCTTTTCTAATTAACGCAAGCAATTATCCTAAGTTTAAGATGTCCTTTGCTTTAAAGCCAGAAAGTCAGACTCGTGAGCTAGTTAAAGCTTTTGACCTTAAGACCTTAATGTTAGAAACTGAATAAGAGAAAATCAAAAAATTTGTGCTCTCTGGTGAGAGGCAATTGCAAATTAATTGTTTATCGGACCATATTCCTGTCAAGAGAGAGATCTGATCCCCCTCAGCGGATTAGATGTCTTGTTTTAAAGGTCGACAGGAAAGCATCGATTGAGATAATATGATTACGTGTTTTTTGGCACGAAATTAATTCTAAATACGTTTTTGAAGATCCTGGGTGTAGTTCTCGGGCTAAGACTTATTTTGAACTCCGTAATGGTAAAGTTGTGAGACAATTAAGTTTTTTTTCCTAAACACGATTCCTTAAGCTTGCGTTTTATATTACTGTCGCACGCGCTGTTGCCTGACTTATGTCGAAGAAATAGCGTTTCTTCCTTTTTCTACAGTGTATCTTCATGTAAAGAAAAAATGAATAATGAAAAATACTCCCTTGGAAGCCAAGAGTCATATTTACCGTACGGAAAGTCTGCACCCCTTTTGTCTCGTGAATCATGGAGGGCTGTTGACAATGGAACTTGACTTTTTTCTGCAACATTGGTGACCAAATTCGTTTAGGATTAAGTTTAAAATATGCTTGAAGTTCGTCTTCATCTATCAAGTAGATCAGACGCCGCTAAACAGATTCGAACTTTGAGTTGATTGTATATACATCTAAAAACATGTATATCTTCAGATCCTCACCTGAAAGATTCGGCGGAAAGATTTTGTCTCAAGATAACATTGAAGTAAAATGAGATTCAGAGCAGAACTTCTGATCTGCGGTATTGATCTTGATTGAAACGAACGCTAGCGCTGGTTCAGAAACTAAATTAAAATTTGAACGGCATTTATAATTAATTTGTTTGCTTTCACACACAGCTAATTTCATTATATACGGAATTCGTTTGAAATAAAGAACTTTTGTACTTTCTTGAGTTTCGAATATTTTACGATAGCTTCATTCTATTCCCTACTTTAAGCATTGAAATTAATTCATTGTTTCTAAATAGATCTTTTGTCCCACAAAATTCCAAAAATTTCTGAAAAGAGAGCAAATTGAAGACACTTACGTAGGAAGTTACTTTTGCTCTGTGCAAAGCTCGTTAGATTCTGGGAAGCTGAAAATTAAATGAGTGACGAATTCTCAACTCATTTTATCGACACCGGAATAGGAGATATTCAATGACACAATTTATTTGCTTTGAATATTTGTATAATGAGAAAAAACCTTACAGCTATTGTTTCAACAAATCGACCTTTCGTTTTGTTCTTGATTGGAAAATTAATTAAAAAGGAAAATTTTACACCTATTCATATTACTAGAAAATTGGCGTTGTGAAAGATAACCAAATTATTGTTTTACTTTCTGAAGAACTAAAAGAAAAGAATTGAAGTTTTGCCCTTAAGACTACTTAATATTTGATTTCGAGAAAGCCTGTCATTTCCTCCTTTACACCTATGCTAAAAACATATCGGAGTTGATTTTTTCTTGTTTACTCCTCCATATCAGCTGAACTATGCCGTTTTTCAACCTATCATTATTGTGCAGGAAAATCTGTACGCTTTACTGGGAATTATTGAAGCTGTATCGAGAAGAAATTACGAATTGACTGTATGAATTTTTCACAGTACACGTTTGAATCTTATCACGACAGCGGTAAGCAAATTTAAGGGAAGAACGCGTTGCTTAGCAACATTGCTCATCTTCGGGCACGCTGAAGAAGTTACTAGCTGACAACAACTTAAAGTGCGAGTTCTCTCTCAGTACAAGTCAGAATTAAATCAACAACTTTACTTCAATGCCAAAAATATAATTGAACATCAGATGGATTTTTTTTTTTTTGGCAGGTACAAATATCGTAAGAGCTTTTTGATGGACAATACACGAACTAAGCAATGACACTAAATCGACATCACTTTCTTGCCGTCACTTCTGATACAAGTTTTCTTTCATATCACGTGGCAGTCTGCATTCTTCTCATTCTTCTCTTACGTCCAAATTGAGCCATTTCGCAGAACACCACGGTTCGGGAGGGGAACAGTCATTTTTTCAACAAAATTCAAACTGAAAAAAAAAAAACTCGAGAAACACTGATTTACAGTTGCAGCCTTTCATAGTATTTATAATTGTTCCGTCGATGAAATTTTGCCCAACAATTGTCTCTAATTTCGTCATTCAGCTCGCAGACCCTTCCTGAACTCATTAATTCTCGACCTCCAGTCGGTAGATATTCGAAATTAAACGACACACAATTGCGATAGAGCAGACATTCACGTGCACATACAGTGACGTCATCGACGAGCAGGCTGGTAATCATGTGACCTGTGAAAGCAGCGTCTGTGGCATGCTGGATGAATGTTCCATAAACAGGGCTGATGTCTGAAATGAAGAAGTATTAAAGTTGATTTCTCTTTTTTTAGTCGCGTCCAGTTGAACTCAACCTTTCGTGGAGTCTATAAATTCCCGGTTCGAGATCTTAGGTGTTTGAGATTTCCCGGGGTAAAATAATTGTAATAAATACACTAACCCTAACCCGAACGCGGCTATTGTGGTCCCCGCCGTAACCTCCTTCCCCCTGGGAATCTCCCTTTTGTAAAGTGAAATACGGATATTTCTATATCTATACCCTCACCTCTGGGCGCGATGCACAAATGATCGCAGCTGTTAACAAGACATCCTTGTAACTTCCATTGGCTTGGCAATCTCGTGGCACAGATGTGTGTCATCGAGTTTGATTTATTCTGCTGTGTAAGAGGTAAGTTTGAGAAGGAGCTTGCATTCAAAAGGCCTACCACAATACATTGGGAAGATTTTCCGCCATTTGCACTCGACCCAATCGTGTAAAGGAACTGTTCCAGTAGGCGGAATGCACTTTTATTTGTTGCATAATACAAGTCTCCTTCATTTTTTTGACAGTATTCCTTCGTTTTATTCTCGGTTGAACTGTAATTTGCAGACACAAGAAAACAGAAGTTATCCTGAGCCTTCCACACCATATTACATCCGGGAACTATGAAAAATAAAGCGCAGAAAATTTGATTGCGTATATTTACTTCATTTCATGTTATTTTGCATTGAAGAATACTTATTTTGCCCATCACGTAGGTAGACATTGAATTTAGTAGAACTGGTTCCCCGGAAAGCTTGCGAATAAGTTGAGTTGAAACGATCTTTATACAGCACTGTTACTACTCGGTACATTTCTTTCTGAATTATCACACGGGAACGCTTAACCCACGAGCCTTAGAACCACTTACACACTTCCTTAAAAGACTCCCTTACGCAGTTCTCAGAGTCACATGTCGCGCCGTTTTAACGTGTGTATGTATGCTTTTTTTTCCAATACGGAAATGGGAAGTGGTAAACCTGTCCCTGTTTCTCACCTTGATGACTGTAGTCATAAAATTTGTACACAAAGTAGGTTGATTCCAGGCCTACTCCTCTCACGCATCTCTTATCCGGTCCGTCACGACTGTACGTTTGATCAGCGGTTGCACCGGACCAACATTGTCCATAATAGCGTAGTCCAAAATAGCTGAATCCGAAGCAACAAAGAAGTAAGATAACGTAGTAATTATACCCAATGAGCAACATACATAAATTCATAAATTAAGTGCAACGTGACGTGTATTATAGCAACAGGAGATCTAAAAACAACCTGAGACTTCTGTTGTATGCCAAGCTTGCGCACTGTTTAATTACAGCCTCGATATTATTCCAGTTCATTTCTGGGCGAAAATCCTTAAGAAGCAGTGGCATGGGGCGAGGTGAGGTACCGCTGTCAAGGTAGCATCCTACGGGCTCAAAAATTGGTACTCCTAGAACGAGGTGACGAAAAAGAGAGGTAAAGTCATGTTGAGTTGCAATCTGAACGTGGGTTAGAATTCATTCGATGATTACGTTACGTTCTTTATGGATGATTAACGCAAAAGATGATTCTCTTAGTAGAGGTTGCCACCGATAGGAGTGGGACTGACATGTGAAAGAGCACACTCCGTTTGGGTGTAAGAAAACCAAAACCAAAGTGATCACAACAGCCAATCACAAAGACGGTAAAAACCAGCAAGCTGCTTGAAGCACGGGAAAACGTGAGTGACCAAGTTAAGATTGATTAAAACTTTGCACTTGATTGGTTGAGATTGTGGCGTAAATTTTATGGACCAATCACAGACCGAGGTAAAGCAAAACCAATATAATCCCGGATAACTTTCCAAACTCGTTTGAACATTACTCCAAAAAGCAAACAAGCGCCTACTACACGGGTGAATAGAACTTTTTCGTACGCTGATGAGCTAACTCGGAAATGCTTAACAAGTACTTTTCACCTCTGAACAACCAAAGAGACAAAATTCCCGCATCAAGAGTTTGATATTCAGTATACTGTCGGAAATAAACTACTCTTTTGGCTCATGTGTAATGTATTTTGTAACAATTATCTTACTAAGTGTCGGTGAAAGTGGTTGGGTTTCTTCCGAGCCGCAAAGCAGCGAGGTAAATTTCCACCACAATGTAACTTCACTTCGTGAATAATTGTTTAATATAACATCATTTAAGCCGTTTTAAAATCAATGACGACCGATAAATCGATCGATTTGAAACAAAGCAGCAACAATATCAAGTCAATCAATATATATTTCAATAATTTTCCAACCAGTAAGAAAAAGAAAAACTTGGACCAGTTCATGAGTCAACGAAAAAAAATATGGATTTTTTTAACTTCCCTGATTGGATGAAACTTTGACCCAGTGAAGTCCCAAACGGAAAAACTTCACAGTTTATTTTGAAGCGTGAGCGAAAATATATCAACGTCAATAAGATTTAACATTTCAAGGATAACATCAAAAATAAATTATATTTGAATGTTTGTTTGCGTTTTCCGTTTTTTGTACCCTTGTACTGAAAAAACATTCTTTACACGACTTCAACCATAAATATATGTATTGCGCTTGAAGAACCTTACTACAAAATTTCCTGAAAGTGGCTTTCATTTACATGCAAAGGTCATTAAATAAGAAGATGAGAGGACACAAGTCTGAACCAGAAGCTAACAAACACAGAAGGGAAAGGGATTAAATTCATAAGTTGAAGAAGTCTTGATGGAATGATGGGTACCCGAAACTGATATTGAAGGGCTTGTAACAATGAAGTTTTCATCGTAAACGATACATGAAGTTAAACATTATGTTATTATAAAAAGATAAATCCATTTTACACAACTGAGAAAGGTATTGCATTTTTTATTTTAAAATGAACCCGTCTTAAGCGAAATAAACAAACAGAGACCAGCATTTTAATATTTGGATACCAACGATTCGAACCCACTTGTGCTTTTAAAGTAATGGTTAACGAGTAACGGATGGGTAAATTTCTCAACATGATCGTCTCGAGATTTTATTTAGCGTCGTCATTATAAAAAAAGGAAACATTCAAACTAGCAGTTAAGTTATCAAAGTAACATAAGTTGAAATTGAGTAGGACAATGTATTGATTCATCGGAAAAGCTGTACTTACCTCGAAGCAAAGTAAACGCTTCTGAAATAACAAAAATCCTCAATATTAAAAGAAACATTCCGGAAAGATTTTCCTCGAGAGAAGACCATTAAAAAAACGCTGTGGCCGATCAAAAGGCAAGAAAACTTTCTTAAAACCAATCCAACGCGTTCAGATTTACTTTGAAATATTTAAACGTCAGACTGTGGTCTCTTGTCAATTAATAGCAATCATGAAACATACATACATCGGAAACAACTGAAAATTTAGCCACATTCAGAATACGCCCATATACCAAATTATTGTTTCAAATATGAATTACACCGCTTATATTGATTGTTTTCTTAAAAGGATTCACACCGTATCTGATCCCCCGTTGAATAAAGATTCTAATCTAAAATTTGTTACAAAACAAAAATCCTTCAAGATATTTTTTCCGCTCTCAGATTTGATTTTAATCTCCATATGCAGCTTTTTACATAATTTTTTCGTTGGCAAAATTCGCTTCGCTTCCTGTTAATCTATTTTTCCAATACACCTGTCACTTTTTCTCTAGAAATGTTTGAACTAAGTTTTCAATCAAAGTTAAAAGGGTAATCAAAAGCTGTTCTTATTGGAGGATGTTGGATCGATCTTAAAAGCATTGCTGTAATTTTGGTGCCAAGTGTTGGCAGACAGTATTAAAAGAAAGCCTGCAAAATCCCGGAATGGCTAATGAAGGTATCAATGTAAATGTATATTAATAGCTATTTCATGCACTTTCATTGAGAATTGTCACCTTAAAATCAGGCCATTGATTGAAGAAAGGAAAGGGGTTATTGCTTAGGCTGCTGTTTAATAAATCTGATACAATGTAGTCACAAGGTAAATTAACAGTCCTGAAAGGGGCCTAAAACCAAGAAATAGTTTTCAGCTCAGAGCACAGACTGATTTGTTCCACAAAACAGAATATGTTTACAGCTGCTGTTGTGTGAAACTCTTCCCTTGCACATGTATGAAAAAAAAGTGCCTTTTCCTTAAAAGGTCCCTTTAAGTACTCAAAGGAATGAAAGCGTGCAGGGCTACCTTTGGGTTCATGTACCATGGGAATATTGGCCTGACTACAAGAAAAGGGTAAAAGTCCCAGCCCTTTAGAACGCAACACCGATTATTTACTTAAGTAGTAGCCTGAAATCCTCTCCTATCCAGCTCTGTATTCAGGCAACATTTTCCTTGAGAAAGAAGATAATGTTACATTATTTCTTCTTTCAATCGACCTAAAGTCTATTTGCAAAGTGTAAGTGATTGACAGGGAACTAGTTGTATACAGAACATATGTAATGTAAAATCAGACCAAAATAAGATTTTTCAATCAGCTTTAGTAATTGTATCTGGGGGGCATGGGTTCTAATCCCAAGGAAGCCTGAATATTTTCAGCTTTCTGTGATTGCTCTAATTAGAGCTCACCATCAACAGGTCAAAAATTATGATTTATTTTAATCAAAATTGTGACTGACCTCCGCTGAAACAAAGCATCAACAGTAAAAATATTTCATTGCCCCCGATATAAGGGTTTGTAAATCTGGGAGGAACTCCATTTTTTTAAGCTTCTATGGTGAAAGTGTTTTAACCCTTCAACTCCCAGATCAAATTTGTAATTCTCCTTACTGTCAACCATACAATTATTTTAATGTTAGTTCAGAGAATTTAGTATTGGATCAACTAATTATCCCCAAATTGATATTTTTCTTTATTCTCATCACTTGTCTGGTTGATATTGCATTGATATTGTAAGGAGAAATTCTGTCTTGGTCACTTATGGAAGTTAAAGGGTTAAGAGTAGCTCACCTGTAAGGATAATTTATTTCCTTGAGCAAAAATTCCACTTTTAATTTCCTCTTTACTGTATCAAGACATTAAACCAGTGTCAGTAAATATTTAATTAGTCTGAAGTATTTTGACACACCAGAATTTAATTTATAATATTATACAATTCAAGCATTTTCTTCCCAAAGTTCAGTAACAACTGGAGATAACTCCCTTGCCCTGGACTTCTGTTGCTCTGGTGTCAAATATTTAAAGCCTTTTATTTCACCTAGGCATTTCTCTGAACCACAGTTGCACTGGAAATGTTCAGCCATATCATATTCTGTTAGATTGTAGTCATAGGTGATTCCTTGGCCCTTCTTGATGTTACGAGTGGCCACCATATGCCAACAGACTTCCTGATTGTCACTTAGGGTTGGAAATGACACTTTGCGCTTTTCAAAGATAAATTTTGCATTGCTGTCACAAGAATGATTGACATATTTCATAACCCCTTCAGGAGTCACATGCTTGTTTTTCTCAACATGCACAGTGTGAGAATCTGGAGAATTTTTCACTGCACCCCAGAGATCAGTTAAAAAAGACCCAGCGCTGATATCTTCCAGTGCCTGACAAGACAGGAAGTTCACCTTGACTTCAATAATTGCCAACTTTTCAGAATGCATCCCTCTATTGATGAGGAAGAGAGTAAGAAAGAAAGAAATTACTCCCCAAGAAAATCAAATCTGGTAGAACCCAGAATAAATGGCAAAAGTTCTAGGATAATTAGGTTTTATCACCTGCATTGATTATGTTAATTTTAGATTCGAACACTGAATGACAAAGGGATAATGTTTGAAACATCAGCTTTATAGAAACTCTCTATGGTGGCCAATTTACATTATCAACCCAGCTGATGAAACCAAATTTTCTCTAACACCCTTCCCACCCCACCCCCCCATCATCCCCCTGATACACTGTACTGTGTTATTTAGCTTTAGCAAAGCTGTTACCCAGGAGTATAAATGGGGTGTAGTCGTCTGTCTAGGAAACATAAATTTTACCAAGTGGAATAATTGACAACAAAAGAAAATCTGTAGAAAGTCTACGTTGCAAGTGGTTTAAAAGTGTCCTGACCCCCAATTTAATTTCATATACAAAATATTACTCTGAAAGTAGCCACGAAATTCTGTTGCTATATATTTAATAATTGTTTTGAGTTTTAAATTTCATGTATAAACATAACATTTATATTCCTCTCTAGGTTGCCGAAAATTCAGCCATCTCTTCGACTACTCGAATTTTAGATCTTTACTTCAGAGCAAGGCTTTTCTCTGATCTTAATAATGGTTCGTCACTCAACGAGACTGACAAGATTTCCGTAAGATTGTATACTTTTGAAAACTTAAAACAAGGCGCCATGAATTCGATTCACTCTGTTACTTAAACTATCCACTCGATGATCATGAGAACAAGATGCAATAAGCTGTTTTGACAGCCCACGTGTGTAGTAGCATGTGCTAACTCGTTCAGTAAAAATGTACTCACCAATTGACAGAGTCGTTTTTTAAGCGATCAAATTACCTTTAGAAGTGCCAAGTAAGCTTTGTCGAATAATTTAAGCAGGATTAATCAGCTCATGCTTACGTAAATTGTTATCTCAACTAACTGGGATCCCTGGGGAGAGTCTAGACTACGATAGCAAAAAATTTAGAATGGTCTGAAGAACTACGGGACTGAGGATTCTACGTTACAGAGTTAAAAAGACCCTCCCAAAATTCCAGAAGAAAATACCACAATATCATTGCAAATTGATGAACGTGAAAGCAGAAAGAAGTTAAAGCGATACCTGTGTGACATAACAGAAAGTTGTTTGCACAAAAGCTGTCAGTCTTGTTAAGCAGTAAATTTTTAATGAGACCAAACGTTAATTTTACAAGTAGCACAGTAACAAATTTTCTAAGACAAATACAATTTTGAGAAGGAGGAATTACTGTTATGCTGATAATTTGGCACAAAGTGGGATTAAATCCAGGGAAATACTCACAATCAACCATGTGAAAGGAAAGGTAACCAGTAATAAAGAGTTCTGCTGAAACTCCTTACCACTAGAATAGAGCTTAAGAATCTAATGTTAAATTCAAACATTCCTTATTTTCTTTCTTCCTTGTTATAGTCCTTCCAACCGTTCATTCCCTCTTCTTTCAAAAGTAGCCTTCAGAATATTCATTCACAATCCAACTTGTTTATGTCACAATTTTTTTTTCTCTTCAGACAATTGCCCCTTTTCTGCAAGGCCAACTAACCATATATTCACAAAATACAAGATCACTCTTGCTCGCCATATTGAATATATACTGTTTGGTGCAGAAAACATTTCTTGTGAACAATTTGCCTGGATCTTTTCAGACTGCACCCATTTGAAGCCACCATTGTGTATGTAGGACAGAGTGTTTTGATTACAGCAGCATCCATCATACAATGAAGGCCATATGCGCAATTTGGTGACAAGATGTTGAAGAAAGTATTGGCATGTCCATGGCTTAGCTATCACAAAATGGAGAAGTGAAAAAACTTAGTGTTTTGTAAGGGGGTAATTAAAACATTAAAATGTTCAACTTAAAAACTGTTCCTGAGGTCTTAACACTAACCAGCAACATGCTCCAGAAAATAAAATCTGCCACCCTGAAAAATACACAAAAATTTATTTGCAAAATTTTCATTCATCAATTGTGGCCATTAGATGAAAAAAGAAAAAGTCAATAAACAAACAAATAACCAAAGCAAAACAGAATGATTTGTTTTAAGACCAACTAAAATGAGTATGATATATCTGAGCCAGGAACATTCGAATCCACAAAACCAGTTCCAGTTTTGATACAGTGTCCTTTTTATAACCATCTGCAGTGGCATATCTAGGATAGGGACCTTAAATACAGGGCCTTGATGACCCACTTATTTTTAATTTCCTTAGGTCAAGGTATTTAGTTTGGACTCAGTTTCCAGCATGGTGCACCTGCCATCCTCTTCACACCATGGGTGGCACCTCTAAAATACTCAAAAAAATTTGTGCCAAGGTATTGATCTGCCACTGTTCCTGCCTTACAATGCAAACTGTTGGGTACAGGTCTCTGTGGTGACCAATCCTGCCACCCCTTCCCCAGCCATCCCTGTTAACAAGGCTAGAAATGCTCTCAGGCACATCAAACTTTATTAAGATAGGTCAACTTAAGGAATAAGCAGGGTTGCTAAGCACTGAGAGCATCATGCAGACTCATAATCCCCAGGTCCCAGGTTCAAGTCACACACTGGCCACACATGTAATTTCTGACATTTGAGTGCCATGGGAACGAATTAGTCAGAAATTGACATTCTGATGGCACATTGAAGAGTTTCGCACGGCATCATGGAAGTTTTGGATTATTCAGGCATTTGACAGGAAAATTGATTCTAAGTTCATCAGTCTTAGGTTTGACCACTTTCTTTTCTGTATTTGTTGTAGTTTTTAGTATTCCAACTCCTTGCAAAATGTCATTACAATCATTTTTTTTGTTAGTTTACCCTTTCCTCAGATTGTATCAGGATGCATATACTAGAAAACTGACTGACTCATCCTAAATAAACTTTTCACATTAAATGTCTCATGTAAGTGTAGTTAGAATGATAGATTTGTTTCTTAGTGTTCCTAAGTTCAACAACTTGACAGGGCTTGTAAAGAGCTTAATGGTTTGCCTTCTGTCACAGTATGTTTTAGACATATCATATATGATTTGAATTATATGTAAAATGATACTATTTAACAAGGCCCAAAGTTTTAGCAGTATGTTTGCCACTGAGAACAATTACCATCTTTAAATGAAAGCTATGACAAATATTAATCATTAACTATCTTGATACCCACAATACTGTTTCGTTCTATTGGAAAAAAATATATTACTGATTGACACATACCCTCCCATCTCCACTCCCCCTCCCCTCCCACCCCTAACATATTTCTACACTGAAACAACAACACAAAGACTCACAGGCATCAAAACTCTCTTCACTTCTGCGATGGTTTTCCTCATCTGAAGATCAGAGAGGTTACACAACAGCTTCGCACATACAACAGCGGCGACGGAATTGTCTTCTACACCGATTTCTCCCTTACAACTCATGTCCTCCGCCGAAGCAGCCACAAATTTTTTCAGGTAAATTTTTCTGCCAGCTTTCTCTAAGTTTCTCTTGAGAGATTCCTCGACGTGTGGGTTCGAGTCAACAGCGATAAGTGAGGTACCTTGGGGATAATAATCGAAGTTTGAACCTGGACCGATCCCTATTTCCAAAACATCGCCTTCCATTGATCTCAGGTGCTGCTCAAGGTCTGAGAAAAGCTTTCGTTTCAGGGGATCAAAAACTCTTCTGGTTAAATTTACCCATTCGTTTTGGCTTTGAGCAAAACGTTTTTTGTACCAACTCGATGAAGTCACAATTTTTATCCCAGCTATAAAAACTACTACAATGGAGGCCACAACCAAAAGTGCGTTCCAAATCCCCATTACTAATAGTAACTCGTTGGACATTAGTTTAGCCCTACTCTCTCACATAACCTTGCGCTCCCCACCTCCCCTCCCAAGGGCTGTATCTGTGCAGAGTTTCAACTTGAACGTACTTGTAGTAAATACGACTGCGCAGAAGTCCAACAACAGGCTCTTTCTGTATTGATCTGTTTTCACTTGACTGAATAGGTAGATTGGCCCTTCTATATACAATGTTTCATGTCTGAGGTATGGAGCGAACCAAAACAACAAACAAACAAACACTTTAACAAAAGGTAATTTAGTGTTAACAACTGAGTTGAAGACGTAAATTGGCCACCGTAAAGAGTAAAAAAGCTTACGTTTCGAGCGTCAGCCCTTCACAAATCGCTCTGACGAAGGGCTAACGCTCGAAACGTCAGCTTTTTTACTCTTTACGGTGGCCAATTTCCGTTTTCAACTCAGTTGTTAACACTAAATTACCTGTTACACTCTCCCACCGACGCAGCACCACAGTTTCTTTAGAAACTTACCCCTTTTTACGCTAACAAAAGCGCGAAAAATGGGCTCTTAATTTACATCACAGCCTCTCAGCGGGAGTGAGGGGGTACTTTTCTCGCTTCGCACCATTCCACCCTCTCTTGTGTTCCATGCGCGGTTCAAAAATTATAAGACAGGAAATTTTCTTATGGGGGGATTCATAGAATACCTGAGATACTACAAGGACCCTGATTGGTCAGACAGAAACCCAACTAAACCGATTCGTTTATTTTATAAATGCAACTACACTAAACCCATTCCTTGGGATGTTAGAAAAAAATTGAATTTATTTTATGAAATGAAACATAGAATTAACTCTGAAGTGTAAATTAAAGTGCTACTTAAAATATGCTACACTTTTAAAGGGAAACAGGGAACCACAAGGCAAAGAAAAATCTTTTGACCTCGGTGGGAATCGAACCCACGACCTCCGGATTAGATCTACCGTTACTCTGCCGCCTGAGCTTGGGATGTTGGGGAAAAACGCCCATACGTGGAATATTATGCTGGTAAACAGATAGAAAGTATGGTCTGTTACTAATGAAAATACGGGTGAAGACCGAAAACTGAGACTGTAGTAATAGTGTGAATTCAGGTGTATTTTATTTACGACAGTCAGTTTATTACTGTGTTAATAACAGCGTTTTAATATCTTTTTTTCATTGTTCTATGTCTAAGGAATTTGCAAAATCAATGTCGGCATTCAGCGGCTCATCAAGGCTACCTAGTTAAGACATCGTTCCCAGAATTCACAATATGGATTGTTTGTCTCTTAGCACAGAGACACCTTATGCCTGTTCTGTAGTTTGAACTTTGAAATGCGTAAACCACTGGATTTAGAGAACAGCTACAGTACACCAAGAAATAGGAAACTTTGTAAAACAAACTGTGTGATGAAACATTTATGGCTGAGACTAAAGCGAACGGCAAAAAACAAACAATAAATAAAATGGTGATAGTTATCAAAAGTTTGACAATCTTTTTCTTGCTTTGGATATCCTTTTCTTTGACGTTTTCGCCTTGATTTGGGCTGGATGATAAAATGTCCCCGCGCAAGATTCCACTAACAATGCGAAAATAACAAACGAACATTACAAGCCACGAAAGGAGAGTGAATCCTGCCAAAGATCCCCAGTAAGCCTTCGAAACGGGGGGTTTCCAGTCCATGTGGCAGCTCTTTACTTCATCGACGTATTTCTGTTCGACAAACAGGGGCAAAACAAAGGCGATTGAGAAAATCCAGATTAGACTAACAGCTAAATAAAGTTGTTTCTTTCGTAGGCGAAGCTTAGTATTCATTGGCTGAAGCAGAGCGTTATGTCTCTCGATGGATATCAGTGTCAAACTTAGGCCAGACACTAACAAAGTTACACCAGCAATTTGATGCATAGTGACAAACTTGCAAAGAAAACTTCCAAAGGCGTTTCTTGGATGATGGTCCACTGCAAACTGCAACAGCACCCCAGGAAAGCAAAACAGAAGAGTGATTACATCGGCAACAGCGATGTTTCCGAGAATGAAGTTTGTCGTTGTATGCATTGAACGAGTTCGTTTTACCACGGCAATAAAGAGAACGTTTCCAGGTAAACCAGCCAGAACCACAATGGCATATAGAACGACAAGTATACAGACTTCTGTGAAGTTTGTTTCCATGAAAATACTTTTTGCCTCGTGGGCCAACGTGAAAGGTGTTCTTTAGTTTGACTATTCAGCTGAGAATTGAAAAATAAACAACTGGTCTCATAATAGATATAGTCGGCTTGCATTTTTGTACGTGACTAACAAAAGAATGCAGACAAAAGAAACTTCTTCATTTGCGTATGATGTTCTTGACATAAAAGAATCACGAAATTGACTAAAAAACAAACAGTTCGTCAAATTATCAGTGACAAAGTCGAAAACGCACCTAGCGAACTTTTGACATTTTAAATGTTTATAAAGCTTGAATTAGTTTTCTTTGTGATTAAGGCGTAGGAAAAAACTGTTTGCTCACTATAACGAACACAAGACGTAAGCAAAATGAATTGGAGTCACGAACACAAATGGAAGTCATATAGCCAATCGTGAACACACACAGTTTTTACAGTAAATTAAGAATGGATTTGTCTCGAAACTGATTAAAACTATCAGCAGTTATCACAGTGTGAGCGAAATGAAACGCAATGTATGAAAAACAAGTTGCAGTTCATTACCATATCTAGTTCCTATGTGATAAACAAAACATTTCCTTGGGGAAATAAAAAAAATTTTTTTTTTTCATTATTTCAAAGCCGCTTGAACACCACTTGTCAGTTCTCAGCTGCATCAATTTGAAAAAAATGGGGTCTTTCTACTCTGCAGTAGTCAACGTAACTTTAATTAATGAAAAACATATTTCCTTTTTCTCAGTGGGATTTCAACTTGGAAACCTCGCTTTTTGTTTTCCCACTTCACCAAAATGATTTCAGCGGCCTATAACAATCTCTTCAGTTGTACCAGAGACTCTTGTGAAGCAACCATTTCAAGGCACTTACTCGTTAAGTCTCATATTCTTGTTCAAAGTCCGTTTCACTTCCCGCTGTAAACGTGCCGTACTGAACTGTAATTCGATATGTTTATTCCGATAAAGGCCAATTTCAAATAAGAAGTCGTTCGGAATTTCCCGCAATGTTTGAACGTTGAAAGGAAGTTACAAATTGTGCAAATAGAAATCATTAAAAAGGAAATGATAAAAAAAACATTTAAAACTCGTTTTGTATTCAGTCATGAAAATTACACTTTCCTCGATTGCTATTGTTTTAAAAAAAGCTCCTTTTTTCCACTGATGCACTTGCCAAGTTGTTGTCGCACTTTCAATAAGCCGACCACATTCAAAGTTGTAGTTTAAATCAGTTATATGGGCGAATTTTTATCAAGTCAGAGCAAACATCCATCCCTTTAAATCATGCATAAAATACTTACCGGTGTTGACCATATTATCGACTCAATCCGGCAGTATAATATTCTTCCTTCGATAAGATGTAACGATAAAGGTCGATAAACCATTCGCACGTAGTCTCCTTCTGGGGTCTAAACTTTTTTCATTCATAAAACACGTCCCAAAGAGGTAAACCAGCTTATTTTCATTCAAGTTGGGCAGAATCTGTTTTTCTGTAAAGAGGGGTGGAGGGGGGGTTCGGGATGAGAAGGGGGGGAGGAGAGGAGGAGGAGGAGGTAATTACAGGGGATTGGGAGAGGGGGTGAGATTCCGCACCCGGGTACTTGTGTCGTGTGCGTGAGCAAGGTAACTTACTCCAATAATACTTCACTCTACCCAGAAAGATTACTTAGCACTGGCGTAATGCAAAATAAATCTTACAGAATGCTGACAGGAAGCTTATGGTTTAGCTTCTCATTTAGGGGTGCGTGGGAGGGATAGCAATACCCCTTGTCAGTAACCCCCACGGATACCGGGATATGTCCCAGGAATGTAGACTATTCGACCCGACAGCAGACTTCTCCTCCACCTTTTACGCCTAAACGCTAAAACTTCTATACAACGGACGGAATTTTACGGTTGCATTTAATTTACTATTCGTTCACGTACACAAAAATTCATTAACTTTACAATAAAAACCACCTCCTTTTCTACAAAATAACACGTGGTAAATAAACGATGCCGGCCTTCTACTCTTCCCCTCCCCTCTTCCCATCTCCGCTCCGGCTTGTTACATGATATCCAGGCAGTCATTTGGCTACTAATAAGCTTGTTAATGGGTTCTTTAAGAAAAATAAACCCTTGCCTTATGAAATATGATTTCCGAACAGGAAAGCAATGCTTTCTTAGTATTCCTCAGAAGAAAAAAAGGGAAAAAAAAGCCTGAAAATGTTTTTTCGCAAGATATTTTAACGCATGTCCTTCGTCAGTACAACATGTGAAAATTGTACCTTCTTTTTAAATTACATTTATTTATCAATTTGAAAAATATAATTTAGCCCTCTTTGTGTTGTCAAGTGCTCCCACTTATTACTTGGAAAAATAACTGTACAGGGCGAAATATCTCTTAAATGACCTATTACTTGTTTTGTAATAGTTATTTTGAATTACGGGTATATACAGTATCCCACCCAACTGAAAAAAGAATGACACAGCTTCCCACCCCACCCTCCTAGCTAACACACTTAAAGAAAAACCACATTTAAAATCATTGATAACCCTTTAACTCCCAGAAGTGATTAACATCTATCTTCTCCCTGCAATATTCATACATTATCCACCAAACAGGTTATGAGAATACTCAAACATATCAAATAGAAGTTGTTGTCTTGATCGAACACCAAATTCTTGCAACTAATTTAAAAGGAAATATGTAGTAGCTGGTGGGGAGAATTGACTATCAGATCTGGGAGTTAAAGGGTTGATTTCAATCAAAGCTAAAATTGCAAGGTTTTTTTAAAAAAAATATAATAATCTCTTAATTGTACAAACATCTAACTAACAATTATGTTTAATAGTTAGTTATATACTAGGAGACTCAATTAAACTGCAGTTCTGAACAACTGAAATTTGATTTTAAGAGTTTCATTTAGGATATATATACTTTCACTGCAATAGGAAAATGTTACAAAGTTTTAATATTATTCTTTAATAAACTCTGTTATATCCAATTTTTTACTCACATTCCTATTGGTCCTCTTTTTTAAAATTATTTCATCCTATTTTCTTGTTGGTTTGGATTTTGACGAATAAGTTATCAAAACATATAAACAAAAACTCTGTTTTATGTCCCAGATAAAGCACTACAGGATCAGGAGCCAGACAGTAGCCTTAAAAGAGCATCTCTTGTTCCTATAACAGCACTGGAATATAAATAACTATTAGTAGAAGAAATATGTAGCAAAAAAATGTTAATGAACAGGGCCACTATCAATGACAACAAAAATGGAAACCATGAGGTGGGTTGCTTGAAAATTAACTATGTGCGACTGTTTAGACACAGTGGAGTAGAATTATTTGAGATTGAGAAGTTTTCGACTTGAAACTCAACATCACAGGGAATTAGTTGTCAGATGCAGTCTCTATAAACAGAAGATAACTTATTTCAAGAGTATGTAACATCAAATTAACCCTTACCCTACTAATCCAAGAAATATGATTAATATGTCAATAAACCATTCTCCTTTGGTGAGATGCCTGAAGAAGAAAGTAAATGCAGTTATTGACAAAGTGAAATAAACACACAAATAAACAAATTCAGCCCTTAACTCCCACAAGTGATGAACATGTAACTTCTCCCTACAATATCCATACATTATCCAGCAGACAGGTAATGAGAATAATGAAACTTATCAGGTAGAAGTTGTTATATTGATCTAACAGCAAATTCTTGGAAGTAATTTAAAAGGAAAACCGGAGCAGTTAGAGGGGTGAGACACATTCAGATCTAAGGAGTTTTTAAAAAGGTTTAATAAATACAGGAATATTCTCTTGCCAAGTTCAAATCCCCTAGGTGGCTAACTATTTTTTCTTTCGGCATATGGCATTTTTGCTTTAGTGAAAGCTTAAAGTTTGAAGACCTACACATCCCCAATTTTTGAGAGCAGAGCCTCCAGGTCCCATTTGATTCTTACATGGGCATAGCTTTTGAAGACTCACACAAAAAAGACACTTTTTCAACACTATTTTAAACAATGCATAATGCATCCAAACTAGGCTTGATGTCCCTTACCTTAAAAACTAAGTAAACCCACAGCTGAAGGCCGTAATCACAATCTGTGCCAACCAAAAGTTTGGCAAATGATATTTCTTAATAAACTTACCCTTCAAAAATTCGTAGATGAAATATTCCAGGTAAAACAAATCCTAACAGAGTACAACAGCTAGATCCAAAGAATGCCATGAGTGTGGAGAAGTTTGGAATCACAAGCACAACAATGCCGGAAAGTACTACAACACAGGCTCGTAAAACAGTCTGCAGAGAATAAAACACACAACAAAATCTTAGAATCTAGTAACTTATTTGACTCTTAACCACCAAACAATACCTGTAAAGGAGAAAAAAATGGAAGACCTCATCAAAAAAGCTTTCCTGATTATTTTGCTTTTTAATTTTTTTTGGCCAAAAATTGAAATCAAGGATGATGTTTTTCATTTAGCTATAAATGGCCAAAAATTTCACTTTTCTAATACATTCAAATAATCTTCACCAGAACTGAGAATCTAGCTAAATCAAAATATTGGGAATTGAACATCGCGTAAAATCTCCGCAAATAGACAGAACCAAATATAATATTTACTCCTTGGTAGTAGCTGCTTTTCCCTCCATCTGGAAGAAGTTTCTTCTCTAATAATAGCACTACAGGGAACATCATAACTGCAAATCAACCGCATACAAGTTAAAAACTTGATGTAAACTCCTTAAGATTTCAATAAAATGCAAAAAAGGAAAAAATTAATTAAAATAAAACAAAGTACACACTTACTTGGGTAAGTAAAAAATAATGAGAAACAAAGACAAAGTTGAACTACAGCAGGAAATGGACCTAGAAAGAAAGCAACAAAGCTCATTAATAAGAATTCAAAACAGATAAACCATCTAGTTTGAAGATATTTCCAAAATATCCCAAACTACATACATAAGCTTACTCTAAAGCCAAGAGCAAACAATAAGACAACACACGTCTACAGTCAAGATGAACTTTAAGCACATTTAATGCATAACCTACAAAATTGTTATAGTTTTTAACCCTTCACACCCTAATATCAGTATGCATATTCTCCATACTGTTCTCTATACATTTTTTTAAGGTTTTTTAAAAGGAGAATTTGTTTAACAGTCAAGAGTTCTTCTGTTGGTGATCATTTCCCTTATTCTCACAACCTTCATTGTTTGATTCAGGGGTGATATTGTAAGGAGAAATTAGATGCCAGTAACTCTTAACAGTTAAAGGGTTAATAATAAACTGTTTGATCTCATCTGCAAAATTTACAAGGAAAAGTGAGATGCACTGGCTGCACTGGCTCCATTGCAGCCCGTGCGGTACTCTGGAAATTTTTTGAAATAGCATGACTTTGAAGTGGTAATTATTAATGCAATTTGCAGCTTTCTTTCTTACCAAGAGGTAAATTTAGAGTGATCATTTGCTGTGTGTTTTCTCCAAAAGACTGAAAAGAAAGGAAAACCTCAGTTAGTTCAGAGGTGCCAATGATTTCAAGAAACACACTCAGGAACTAAGCCTCCTGCTCTAATACACTGGGTCCACTGCCACTTCTAGATGGTCACTCACCCACCAGGGATTGGATAAAAAGAATTTTTATTTGTCAAATTGACCATTTACAACCTAACATCAGTATGCATATTCTCCATACGTTTCTTAGTACATTTCTCTAGAGGTTGACGAGGAGAGTTTGTTTAACCATCAAGAGCTCCTTTGTTGGTCATCATAAAACTTGGTACAGTATTTATTAACCAGTAAAAAAATATAAATTTTCTGTTTTAGATTAAAAGCTGTTGTTACTAAATGGTGATAAATATTTAAAACACAAAAAGGGAAAGATACTTACCAGGTAACCACAGGCACCAAACGCAATATACAGTGTTGTAACTAGAAACAATGTCAGCTTAAACACTCTGGAGAGAAAAACATGAAACTAAATATCAACCTTCATAATCAAATTACAAAACAAAATAAAAAGAAAACAAATAAAAGGCCTTTTTTAACTCAATTTTAATCATGATTTTAGCCATTTTGCTAAAAACAACTGAGACTTACGATCTAAATTTATCTCGTGAATCTCTTGCACAGGATGCTTCCAATGACAATATTAATCCTGCCCCCTACAAACAACAATCACCAGATTATTATTGTAAGTTACACAAAGTTTCTCGTTGGGAATGTCTGTATCACCATCACAATAATGCTTACCTCATAACAATATATTGCCACTCCTAAGAAAAATGGTAGGCCACTTATCCTAGCAATTTGTGGGTGAATCCTAAAAATGTAACAACATAGCACTTCATAAATGAAAAAATAGAATTTGTACAATTGAGGGTTTCATTTATTAGCAAAACCTCTTAATAGAATCTTAGCAAGCAGCCTTCCCCTTACACAAAAAAAATATAAGTTTTGCAAGTCTTCTGAAAGTACAAAAAACTTTTTATGAGGTTAACCGTTCACACCATAACATCAGTATACAAGTTCCCCATACTGTTTTCTACACATTTCCTATGCTACTTAGAAGGAGAATTTGTTAAACAATCAAAAGTGTCTTGAGTTAATGATCATTTCCTTAACTTCTCATGACCTTACTGTTTGATTTAGGGGAGATACTGCTGGAAGAAATTTGATGCTCATCGCTATTAAAGATTAATAAAGGCTTAATACTTACTTTACTTTCTCAAAGTGTGCAAAATCAAACCAAAAGACTACACAGTAGGCAAAAACATTGGCAAAATCTGCAAAAAGACTGCACAAGAAACAAAAAATTTTAACAGCTTAACATAACTTACAAATAATAGATACTTAATACAAACATTCATTTATTGCTAATAACAAGTAACAAAAAAAGGACAATAAAATCTATCTCACTTGTTAATGATGACTAGATATTTAGATTAACAAGACACACCTGAATATAGCTAACTTCTTTAAATGTCTGAAGTTTACCAAAACTGCAAGTGGAGGTAGTAGAGTCATTAAATACTGGTGTCTGAAACACAAACAAACAAAGACAAAAACAATTATTAATTAAAAATTATTCATAAGTTTCAAATATGTACCCCCCCTCAGACCCTAAAAAATAAACCTTTATACAGAATCCAGCATCCTAACCGTTACTTTGCCACATTTTATACTCATTTATCTGGTCATTTATTTAAAGCAGTTACAATTTTTTGGGTTAGATCAAGGTGCCATAGCAATCAATTGTGTCTGCATGTCACTGTACTTTGATAGAAAATAAAGTGCTTTATTTATCAACTCGATGGCACTAATTAAAACCACATTTCACTGAACAACCACAGTTGCTTAGTATCTGGTCCATGTAATCCAATAGTTTCCTTTGTTATTGCAATCTATTTTTGTGTTAAATGATTTACAGTGTACACCTTCAGAAAAATAAAACAATTTTTTTCAGTAAATCCATTACTCTGGTGACAACAAAAATTGTGCCATCCAATATCCTGAGCTCAAGCAGTGAAATTTTAATTTCAATTGTTAGATGAAAATCACGAGCAAAAAGTTGATTCTTGAGAAAAATAAGAAAGGAGTAAAAGACTGACAACTCACTTGCTGAGAACTGGCAACATGTTGTTAAGAGTATCAGAGATAAAGATTAAATATGCACAAGAAAACCCTGTTGAGACAAACAGTTAGCATTCAGTACTTGGTGGCTTTCCAGCACATTTGCCATCAACACTTGGCCCTTTACACCCTAACATCAGTATGCATATTCTCCATACTGTTCTCCATACATTTCTCAAGGTGCTGATAAGGAGAATTTGTTTCACAATCAAAAGCTTGTTTACTTGTTAATCATTTCCTTCATTCTCTTAACCTTAATGTGTGATTCAGGGGTGACATTGTAAGGCGAAATTAGATGCTGGTCACTCTTAGGTGTCAGAGGGTTTAGTGACCCAACCATCATGGGAAAACTAATTAAGTAAAATAACAATGGCTTAAACTTTAATGTTTTAAAAGTTCTAAATACAAATCAATTTGTTCTGTAAAATCATAAAATTACCTATCTGAGAAATAACTATGCTTGTATCAACTAAGGCTCTGCCAGAATTTCCCAATGCATGAAAACCTGAAGAAACAAAAACAGAGTTGTGTTAGTTTGGTATCAAGCAGCTGCCTATACACATGTAAAAACAAACAGACAAACAAACAAACAAAACAACAGCAACAACAAACAAACAAACAAACAAACGGAGAGCCAAGGAAGGACAAAGAGTCACACTGAATAAATGGGAACAACTCAGCAAAGAACTAAAATGCATTATACACTGATGTTTAACCCTTGACACCCTAACACCAGTATGCATATCCTCCATACTGTTCTCTATACATTTCACAGGGTGCCGACAGTGAATTCTGTTAATAAATTATAGAAGCACATGAAGTTTTTGTGAAAGCCCTTCTCCAAATATGTCCTCTTTAGTGAGGTCAGACAAAGTGCTGGTCAGAGTCACTCACCAAGATCTCCATAATCAATCTCATGGGTTGCACTCTGCAACTAAAATAGTATTCCATGTTTTTACTTTTAACAGACCTATCCTCTCATACACAATAACTTGAGTAACATTGTTAAGCTCCACATTCCTTTTCCTCTTCCTCCTCAAATGTAATTCTATATGTTCCCATTTCCCAAACAACCTTGACAGGGGCAGACTACAATGCCTCTGTCCTATAACATGCCACAATTTTGACATGTATTATTTAATAATCAGTTATTAGGTATATTAAGTGTGTTAGAGTTTGAAATGAGTTTGCGATTGTTCAGTGGTTAAATCTGTTTCATTATTGTATGACAAAAAAAGCCCTTAACCCTTTCACTCCCACGATCTCATTAGTAATTCTCCTTACTGTCTGCCATACAATTCTTATGACATTAGTTCTGAGAATTTGATGTTGAATCAACTACTTATCGCCTAATTGATATTTTTCTTCATTCTCATCACTTATTGGCTTGATATTGTATTAATATTGTGAGGAGAAATTATGTCTTGGTCCTGCATGCCAGTTTAAGGTACAAAAGAATTGATAACTGTTCTGATCTCCTGTGCGATTGGTTAAAACACATTCATTTGATACTTCCAAAAAATCTCAGGTGTTAATGGTTTTCAGAGTTTGATAATATTTGTTTAAGATCAATATTAACATTAGCACAGACATTCTGCCTTCAAAGAATAAAATCAATTATGAATTTAAGGAAAAGCTGTATAACTTCAACAGTTAATTGTCAACTGTAATCAGTATCATTAGCTGGACTTTTGTTACTTTCAAAGGTTAGGGTTCATTGCCATGGTCAAGATTGTTACAATCAATATCAAATAAATACAGATTATTATACACATAGATTGGAATGCAAAGTGTAGATCTGACTCTCAGATGGTATAAAGTTGCTTACTTCCCCTAAACCCACTAGCAAGATCAAGTTATAGCATGGCCAAATCTTAGGATTCCTCTAGCCTAGTCATCCCGGACAAGGTATCAATCCCATTTTAAACCATAAAGCCACCAAGAGTATTGCCAACCTTCAAAGATAGGGTACTAGTCTATCAGAAGCAGGGGCAGATCCAGGAGTTTTTGGTAGGAAGGAGGTGCAAAACTTTGATACAGAAAATGCATTTTTTTTTCACAATAAAACCTACATAAATAGAATAGGAGAGATGGTAAGTTTTGAGCTTGGTAAAGAAATAAAGAAAGATGTTTTTGTTTTGTCACAAGCATGGGACATGTCTTTGTCCCATGCTAGCGACAAAACAAAAAACATCTTTCTCTAAGAATTTTTTATGTCAGGCAAGAAATGAAGGAACCCAAAGGTCTGATGGGGGTGAAGTCCTGCCACCTGAAACCTCCTCCTCTGAATGTGCTGCCAAGTAGTAAACCCCTGATGATTATAGTTCCTTGACAGTTTTCTGGTACCACATGCATTCAAGGTTCAAGGAAGTACTGGGAAGAGTAAAATGTCTTGTTCAACTTCCCCCCACAATGACCTTGCTGGAGCTTAAACCCAGACCTCCCCTTCCAGATTCAGGCACACTCAGTACCAGATCTCCATACTTCCCACAAGCAACAACACACCATCTGGGAGACTGATGCCATGGAGTGGGTTGGCATCAAAGTAACAAAAGCCATGATTTTATCAATACTAACTAGGAGATCATCCACCCCATCTTCCATTACTTTGTCTGTTACTTCTCCACTTTCAGCTGCCTTTAATAATTCCTTCTCCTCTGAAGCAACCTTTCCATCCACTGAAATTACAGCTCCATTAACATGATCCATTTTTTTCCATGTCAACTTTTTCTTGCAGTCAATAATCAATAGCATTGCTTTTACACTGAAAGAAGCAAAATATGAATTTTCAGTGAGCAACAGCATGAATGACTACAAAAGAGAGAAATAATATAGCCATTTATCATTATAATATAATGACTTGTCTGTCAGCCCCCACTCTTGTTCATGACTCACGGACATTCCTTGCACTTGGTCCATAAGTCATAACCTTAAGCCAAATATTTTCCTATGCAGCCCTCCCACTCAGTCAATAAGTAAAACTTATCAATCAAGAGTAAAGTTATTACAATAGAGCTCATGTGTTGAATTAAAGGAAAGAATTATTCTGGAAAGGTGGAAAATAGAAAATAACAGTATGAAAAACTTGTGTCAACGTCAACAAAAACCCTACAACTTGAGATATAACTTCAGAGTGATTGGCACCTCCAAACTTGTCTAAAATTATATTTTCAATGAAATATTATTACAGCAATATCTTCACATGGAAAGAGTATACTTTGAGTTGAAGACACCTGCTCTAAGGCCTAGTTCAGATGTTGTGCTTCTGTGGTGTTGAACTTGATGGCAATTAGGTTCAACTATAGCACAGCAGATGCACAACCCTGATTCAGACGTTGGGAATGTCATGCAAAACGCAGCTTTTACTGAAACACCCTCTGCACAAAGGAGAATAATTCTTGTTCCTGTGATTCCTGTGATTCCCCCATGGTAACATAATTCCACTAAGATATATTGCTATAATTTATGAATTTTATTTGGCACAGCAGGGGTATGACATCTGAATCACTTGTCAGACCAAATTGCTTGCTGAATTTAATTCAAAAGTTTGATTCAGACACCATACTTCCGCCATGTTTTGTAGCACCTAATTCCTGAATTAAGTTCAGCATGGCAGAAGCACGATGTCTGAACTGGGCTTAAGCAATACATGTACTTTCATTTTTTTTTTTCACCCACTCACATATAAAACAAGTGACAAATGGCATTGACAATATTTCTGTCAGTGGCTCATTAGGCCAGTACTAAAAATTCATATTTACTTAATACAATTTATCTCGCTGTATTGATAAATATTCGGACCATCTCAATGTAATACAGGTCCTACATATATATAAAGATCCTCGAGGGTTTTCAGTTATTTGTAAATAAATTCTTAACCTTTCTCTGGCTTAAATTTTAAGTAATTAACTGCCGGGTATTGTTAAAATAAACCGTTGATCAAACAAGGGTAGTTTTAGGTAGACCTAGAAAGTCATGTCAGAAAGTAAAGAAGGTGATAAAAGATGGACAGAGAAGTCAAAAAGAGGTTCAAAGTGAAGCCCTAGTTATGTTTATGAGCTGTTATCATGGGTGACTGCGGGAGAACAGTAACATTTAACAACATAATTAATGGCTGCTATGGTTACAGACAGTCCTTGTCAAAAATTCACTCTAACCATTTCAAAAAGCTGTCTAATATGGCTGAAAAGTTATGTACCGAATTTGACAACGAAATTTCTAGCGTTTGGAGAAAAATATCATCAGTTGGAAAAAAATCCTACCTTAGAGTACCAATCAATGCCATGATCGCGCTTCCTTCGATAACTCCCGCCTATCAGGAGGAAAGAAACATCGATCATAAAATACGCACAGCATCTTTCATTCTCCGTGCAAATATATGCGTTCGTGGCACTGGCCAAGTTCGAGAGCAGGCGTCGCGTAGAATCTCTTAAATTCCTACCTCTTTAAAAGCGTGAGGCATTCCCAAAATTCCAGCGCCGATAAACGAAATAAATATATTAGCGAACATCTTGATGGAACTTCTCGCCCCATCATCTTGATGCATTCTCCGCAAAATAACTAAATGTAAATGTCCTCTAACTTTGACCGTCGATAACCTAACTTCCAACCAGTTGAAATATAGTTGCCCTGTTGAGGGACTGGTAACTTACTAACTCAACTAGGGGAGGGGTGTTTCTAGTTATGTTTTCTTATGAAAACTATTCCCGTGAAAAAAAATATTCATCTGTATGAAAAAAATTTCTTTCTGAGTTTTTTCTAAACTATTATATCGTATATTTTCTCTATATTCCAATAAAAGAGCCACTACTTCGTTTGATTGCCGAGCTCCTCCCTACTCTGCCCTGAAAGGGAAGAAATTGTCAGAGAGCCTGGCTACTAAGCACAGTTACAAACCCCATGTCTTTCTCTTTCCTCCATCTTTAGCAAAGGTAATAATGTTGCGTAGAATCCGGTTATATTTACCCCATCCTTTCATCATCCACAACTGTTTTGCAAATTATTTTAAACTAAATAAATTTACTTATGGTCTCAATGGATTCTTTGCTACGATTAAAGGCTTGGTAATGTACAATCGTCTCGCTAACCAGTAAGGTTGACTCGCATGTTATGTGTTTACAGAAATCACGTCTACATTGCGAGACCGTTCATTGTTTATTCCCCTGAAATATATCTGCCTAGATAAAATATATTTGAAATACTCTGGTGAAGGAAAAGAATCTACATCAGATTTTTCCACCTTCATATGCGATCGAAAGTACATTTTTTCAGCTGATCTGTCATCTAAAGAATATTCTTTTTAGCGCTAAACTCGCAAAGTATTTCCCAGATCCACAACTGTTAGGATTACATCCAGCTCTAAATCTTATTGAAGTGACAGTTGATTTCATACACGTTGGCTTCATTGATTCGCTCCAAACTAATTGTGATCAAATGTGAGCTAATAAAAATGGCCCTTTTTCTTAGCAAATCTTTAAAGTTTGTGAGTCATCAGTGACCCCACTTTAAACCACAGTGAAGAAGTCTGTTAACCCTTTAACTCCTACGAGTGACCAAGTCAGAACCTCTAGAATAAAGTAAATTATCGCCAAGGGGATCAGTTGATCTAATACCAAATTCTCCAAACTAACATCATCAGAATTGTATGTCAGACAGTAAGGAGAATTGATAATAAGATCTTAAAGTGAAAGGGTTAAGTTCTTGTTTGTGTTTTTGTTTCAGATTTTTTGCAGCCATGAAGACTATTCTGGCAAGTGCTACAGTTGACATTCCCGAAAATGGTAACTTCCTCTTTCATTCTGTTGTTTAACTTGACTATTTTGTTGTGAGTTAAAACAAGACAAGATTCTGATTCAATTTAAAAAAGTTTAACAAAGTTTAATGAACTTATGTCTTTTATTTGGTTGTTTATGTACAAATCCTATATCTGAAAAATAATCATGCAAACCATTTTTTGCTAAATACTAAACAAAGAAACAGATTCGGAAAAGACAAAAACAGAAAGTGGGAAAAGTACCCTCCTTTGATTAAGTACCACCTCAAATAAACATCTCAAATTATCCAGAACTTAAAATAGGTGTTTGAATGGCAATTCAAGGATTTTGGATATCCAAGAATTTTTAATTTTTTTTTTTTTTGTGTGCAGTCACGATCAAGCTGAGAGGTCGTGAAGTAACAGTTAAAGGACCACGTGGTAGCCTGGTGAGAAGTTTCAGACATCTTAACTTGGAGCTTACTCTGCTGAGTAAGAAGAAGCTGCGTGTTGATGTTTGGTTTGCAAAACGCAAACAGCTGGCTTGTGTCAAAACCATATGTACTCATGTGGAAAACATGATCAAGGGAGTTACCTATGTGAGTAGATTTGCAGATAAAAAGCAGATGATTATTAAATTTGTTGCTTAGATTCTCAGTGCATTGTTAAAGAACTACGTATTTGATTCAGTGTTTTCAAATTGTGTTAATTATAGAATAAGAAAGATGGTAAATTTTTAGCTCTGTAAAGAAGCAGTGAAAGATGTTGTTTTTCTCTTGTCACGAGCATGGGGCAAAGATGTTACAATCTCAGTCTGAACTACAATTATTGCCACTCAGGACCAAATCTAAGAAAACTTAAGGTGATAGATCATTTATGGCATCTGCTCCTAAACTTTGGAACAGATTGCCATCAAATGTAAGAGCAATAAATGATCTTAATTGTTTTAAAAGACATCTTAAAACACATCTCTTTAGACAGGCATTTTCATGTTTGCTTTAATAGTTTGTTTTTAGTTGGCCAAATTGTATATTCTTAGCCTTATATAGTTTGTTTTCATATTTTATTTTGCTTAGTCTTATTGTATAGCGCATTAGATCATATCCACATGTATTTTGCGCTATATAAGCAATAAATTATTATTATTATTATTATTATTATTAAAAAATTTTTGGAACTTCTTGTATGAACTTTGTAATGGCCTCAGAAGTAGAGAATGGGAGCATTGAATGCAAAGGTTTGGGGTTTGATTCCTCATGGGGACTCAGTTTTTTCTTTATCTCATGCTCTTGACAAGATGAAAAAACATCTTTTGCTGTATTAATCAAGTTGTTATTGAATTTTCAAGTCAGTGTTAGGGGGTATATGTTTTTTCTACTTGGAAAAAAATTATTCTGAGTAAATTTTGTTAAAAAATCTGAACATTATGAGGTAGAACTAGAACTTAATGGGAGAGGAATATCTGAATTAAGAAAAATACTTTGATATCAAACAATTTTTAATATCATTTGAAACTATTTGGGGTGCATTTTGAATTAAGTATGAGAATTCTCTCATTGTTGACTTAACGAAAGGGTAGCAGATTTCTATCCCTACTCAATACCTGTTAATCTTATTTACTTTTTTACAAATGGAATATATTCAATAGAGCTTTTATGA